CCGTATGTTATATATGTTTTTAATTCGACATAATCGTTTTCAGAAAATATAATCGGAATTAAAATCTCTAAGCGGAACCTTTTCCGTGATAATATATTATATTCGATATGTATACGAGTATTAATATGGACACGTATTGCTGTACGTGCGTTCGCCTCATTGTTTCGATTCGATATTGTATAATTCTATACGTCTTGTATTATATTGTAGTGATATTTTCACAAACTAAATTCGTACCGCGAATGGCCCGTTGTTACTATATTGTACGATTTCTGTGTAGTGTATATGACATTAATATTATTAATGTAATTTACCGTTAATCGATTGGAGCTTCGATGACGAGTTTCATAGTATCATCATCGGTGATGATCGTAACAAATTTAATGCAGATCCGATGTTAGCAATTATTTTTGAGGAAAAATATTGATTTTTAAATTATTAACCATTATCGTATAATATCCCTAATATAACGTACTATTATCTAAATTTCCTCAAACAAATTTGAATATATAAACAGTTATTATACAATATGATTATTTTTAAGTAAACACTAGATAACTATCGGTTATTGGTTAATTATAGTAATTTATAAGGCATATTGTAAGAATTTTACTAAAAAATATTGTCAGATTTCGTCATATTTTTAAATAAATAAGCTTTCTAGTATACAATTTATTGACAACCATTAGTTTTTGTTTCGTCTACCTGCTATCAATCATTAATATTTCCACAATAAATATAGATTTTTTTGACTTTTYGTATTTTYCCTCTCTAAACAGCAGCAAAAGACAATACATAAAAATTATTTTTTTTAAACTCATCATACATCATCGTATGAGGTGAGTAAATCTAACTCGGTAGTCAATGATGTGTAACGATTGATATACATTACAAGGCCGTATAGATCGGCGGCGTTCGCCTAGTCAAAATATTATCAAACTGAAATATAATAAACTAACATAAAGTGCTAGATACTGAAAATTATATAGATCGTTTTTGTTCAACACTTTGCTAGTAACATATACAATGTATATGTATGCACACAACGTCAGTACATCACACACGTTTTATAGTAATAACTTAATGACATTCGAAAAACTTTTCTGGTTCAAAGCACTTTCGCCAAACTGAATACAGTCGCAGTTTACGATGGAACGAATTAATATAGTATTTCCTTTGGGTGTTAAGTTGTGCAGTAAAGTTAAAATTCTCTGTTTCTGCAAACGAGACAATGAGTTAAATGAAAGCAACGAGCTTAGTTCCTAACGGCACATTATTGTAGTACAGTGTTTTATCTAAAAATGAATATAACATTTTAAAGTGATTTCACTTTTTCAACGTCAAAATTTATTTTGAAAAATCCATCAATCTGTCCGCTTATAGTTTCGCGGGAAAGGATAAAATATAATCTATTCGTTCCACCTGAAATTATATTTATCACTGATTTTATTACACTTATCATGAAATAAACTTTCTCCTTTTTTAAATATTCAAGTAGGTTGGGTATCCGTTTGAATAAAATAATGGTTTACATTGGACTGTTTTTAATGCAGGTACTTAGTACAACGGATATTATGTTCGATTATATTACACACATCAATATTAACAATTGAGTATAGGTACCTACATAATTATAAGTACCTCTATACTAATATTATATTAGCAATTTAATGAATTATAGTAAAAATCCATCAATTTTCTAATTGACGGAATTAGTTGAATAATTTTATTTTTATTTTTTATATGATAGTTAAACGCAAAAACATGTTACAAAATTTTGTTACAATGGTAAATATTATAACACAATTTTATAAATCTTGCACCTTTTTTTTAACAATATAGCTAAATRAGTAACTGTTGATCGCGTATAAAATATATAATAATGACAACAATTTTCTTACTAGTTATACCTCAATAGTAAAAAAATTAAACGAGTAAGTAGCTATTATGCTCTCCAGCCATTATGCATTATTATTTTAAGTATGTTTTAAYGTTTAGCCTCCCTGACACACGTTATTTTTTGTTATCATAATAACGTCAGAATAATAATTTCGTAGTATTCCAAAAACGGCCGGAACGAAAASGTAAACAATATATAATTGAAGAAAATAACTATTGTACTTCTTATTTCTATGGTAATAAAAGTAATTTAAAATAAGGTCGTGTACAGACCAATTATTTACCTCCAAAATGTAACCCAGTTTAAACTAGAGCTTTTAACTTTTGTTTTTATAGTACCTATCTTATTTCATGTATTTGAACATTTTCCTTTCATACAATATTCAAAAACAATGGAGAATTTTTAAGAGTGCTTAGCTGTTTTTTACACACTAGACAGTTTAAGCATCAATCTATTATGAAAATGGCAATAGTAACAATTTTCAGTAAAAATGGTAAGTACCTAAGTTTGAAAATAAAAAAAATAAAAAAAATGACTATACAATAATTATTATGTACTTAGTCAAAAAAATCTTTAAAATATTTATTTTATGTAA